CCTGTTTCGTTCTTCTCCCTTTCACGTTCGTCCGGTGCGCTCGTCCCCCCCTGTGTGTATTTCATGTCCTGTGCCCCCCCGTTTTCTTATGGTTTTTCCCCCTCGTATTCTTCTGTTCCTTCCTTTGTTCCCCCCTGCGTGGCTTTTTCCCTGGCTTTTATAGCCAGAGAATGCCAAGCATTCGTGCATCATGGGGGCGAAGGATAGCAGCTAGGAGACGGGGTCCATGGTGCCTTTACTGGTGAGAAACGACACCGTTTTCCTAATTAAAATGGCTATGTTCAATTTGGTCACCTAATTGCTGCACATTTATAATCAAGACCCTCGATAAATGGTAATTGGACCCCTTAATTTTATACTCATTTACATCATGGTCCTTCAACTTTAATTTCTTTCACTTTTAACCTGAATCAGCCCCAAACTTTGGTATTTTTTCAATTAAGCCCCTGATTTCATTAATTAAACTAATTTCAAGTTTAATTAAGTCCCCAAACTTTCAATTTATATTGTTGTGACCCAAATTGACATATACCATTATTGATAGATTATGAATTAGGAAGTTTGACTTAGAAAAAACTTTAAAAAAAAAAATTTAAAAAGAATTACTGGATTTTGACGAGATATAAAGTTAACCCATATTTTTTTGAATGTTTTACCCCAAATCAACTCATTTCTAATAAAACATGGTCGAATTCTACAACTAACCAAATAATCTAATATTATCATTTAGAATGATTTTCATGGAAGAGATGTCAAGGACTTCTAAAGGGAACATGTTTATTAGAAAAATAAATCAGAAAAAATAAAGGAAATATATTTACACCACTAAAAAACCCTTAAGTTGCAAACACTTGACCGGTTGGCTAAAATAATTAATAATTGAGATGTTCTAATCTAATTTGTACATGTAAAAAATTATTATAATTTTTAAACTCAACTAGTTAGCTCGTGATCTAAACTATCTAATCATGAAATATTAAAAGTTATCCATAATATTTCTTTACATTCTGTTTATTATTTTTTAAATAAAAAAATGCATCAACAATGTATTTTTTTTCTATTTACAATTATTTTTTGATAATGTAAAAAATTAAAATTATTTTTCTATATTTCATGTTTAGTTAGTGTTATAAGTTTATTTTTATTATAAATTTAATATAAATATTACTTTCATGATAAATTTTAATTTTAATATAATTAAATTAATATTCTATAATTAGATCATCATTCCTAAAACTTATAAATGATGGCATTGATATTTTATGAGAAGTAATTTTAATTTTGATATTTTTTTATAAAATAAATCATTTCATTCTCAACAACTGAATTAATACCTTTTCGAATTTTCTTTTGGAAAAGGAAAAGTACTAAGAACTAATAAAACTAACCATGAAAAGGAATCTAAAATAATATGAAAGGAGACTATTTTAAGTTGCCAATTTCGAAGAACCTGTCGCTACCATGAGGCATTTGATGCAAACATTCGTGGATAAAAATCAATTTTCGTGTCTGTATAATTACATTGTAAAGATAGATTCTCGATTATTAAAGAAGGAATGGAAATGTTACATGATTGATTTTGAAAATATTTTTTTATTTAAAAATATATTAAAATAATATTTTTTTACTTTCTAAAAATCATTTTGCATCCATAAAAAAAATTAATTTTTCATGAAACACTATTTGCATTTCCTAAAAAGAATTCAGATGGTGTTGCTATTGATGAGTTTCCACAGTACTCAAACTTGCCACTAGCTGCATAAAAAAGAGTATTCAGGAACAATGGCATCACTTATAGGTTGTATTTAATGAAACAATAATATCATCAACATAACCTTATACAAGTAAAAATTCCGGTACATACATTAGCTTTACTTTTCGCCGGGTAGAGATAAAAAAATATTTGGTTAAATAATTATTTTTTAAAATTAAATTTTACATATAATTGTGCTTTAATTTTTTATTTCATAAAATTTAAAATATTTTATTTTTCAGATTTACTTTTCATTTATTAAAAATAAAAGTTTGTCTCATAATAATTTTAATTAAATATATATTTTTTTATTTTATAAATAAAAATACCCAACCCACGTTTAATAAGAGAGATGTATACAAGGGCCAAAATCAGCAAAAAAGCAGAGGTGAAAATAAAGCACCTAAAGGTCACCTCCAGGTGCCAAAATTAGCAAGAGAGTAGAGTCATGAGCTGTCCTGGTAGGGAAAAGTAAACAAATCA